CACTTCCTAATCAAACTAACCCAAGTGAGTTCAGTACGTAGATACGCGATCAGTTTTATTGTGGTTTGATTTCATTAGTGGCGCGCTCCTAGTAACTGCCTACTTTAAGGCTCAATTTCGAATCACTTCCTAATCAAACTAACCCAAGTGAGTTCAGGAGATATGCGATTTTATTTGTAGTTCGACTCCACTAGTGGCGCACCACCGTCATGTGCTTTGCGCATGCGTGATTCCCCCAAGACTTGATCATTTTCAGTGCCAGCTGCCAGACTGCGTTCATCAACTATCAGAATTCACAGATGTAAATTATATTTAGTCAAGCAAATTTTTCTCCAAAAAAGTGCGAGCTTCAGGTGGGATTCGAACCCGTGAAACATCTTAATGATTGGTAATCAGTTTCTGTTTACTGTTTTAACCATTAGTATGGTAGGCATCAGTGTTTTTTTTTTTTTTTGTTTTTTTTAAAAGAAAATACAGACGAAAGAGATCTTGACTTGTCTTCGTCGCTATATTTAATTAACCAAACTATTTGTAATTGTCATCAGTTCCATTTGATATATTAACTAATATGGCGGCCATATCTTACTCTTTCCTAATAGATGATTGCAAACCATAATTTATTAGATTTCAACCTGCCAGAACCCTAATATCAGTTCTACTTCTGAAATAATTACCGTGATTACCCTCCCTCAAAATTAAACTCTCAAATGATCTGTCTAGGAAAACGTAAACATCAATTTCTTCAAGGGTTTCATTTGTCCGTATCCCTGTTACTGAATAAAGACCCTAGTTTGCCTACCAATATCGATTATAGTTTTTTTTAGCTCATATGCAAAATGGCGGTTGAACTGTTTTGAACCTCATAAATTTGCCGTTGTCTTGTCGGTGGTTTCATAAAATGGCATTATTCTGTTTATTTTCATCCTGAAATAATCGATTCCAGGTATTTACCTAAAGTAGTTGCTGTAAGAGACAAAATATTTTTATTTATGATGAAAAACCGCGGTAAAATGAGTTTACAAGCTGGTCTACAGCGGTCATGGAGTGGTTAACCATCATCTATTTTAAGCATACTGTACTTTGAAAAATAGTGAAATAGCGAATATACTTTTCAAAAGATAGAAAGGAAGGAAGGAAGAAAGAAAGAA